TGACGCTCTGACTTTCTTGGGTTATCCTGGATGGCTAACCCTCAGGATTAAAAATCCCAACAAAACATATCTTACGTATAAAGGATGGGGTGGTAGGAGACAGAATATTTAAACAGCCTCAAAGAGAAATCTCAGCATTTTTCCTTAAAACATTTTTATTTATTTATCCGAGGTTATGGGTCCCCACACCTGCACCTAGAGGTTTTGGTGGCTATAGCTCTCGGTTCACAAGGCGAGGGTCCGGGTTCGATTCCTGGTGAAAGGCGCTGTATAATCCTCCGGGTTTAGCGCTTCCTCTTGATTATAATAATAATCCTGGTGAAAGTAGAAACATTGGGCATGTTTCTTTACACTGATTGTCTGTATTCACCCATCAGTATAATGGGTACCTGGGTGTTAGACGACTGGTGTGGGTCGCATCCTGGGACAAAATTTACCTAATTTGCCCAAAATGCTCAATATAACAAGCGGCTTTCTATATAGTAGTATGTCATTGATGTCAGCTATGGTCTGTGTACCTTGTACATGTAGTAACAAAGATATTATTTATTATTATTATTATTTTGTGTCACGCTTCCCATGCTCATTGGAAGGACACAAAAATGAGTGAAAATTACAAAATAAGTAATTATTATTATAATCAAGGAGGAAGCGCTAAACCCGTAGGATTATACAGACAAAATAAGTAAGCTCGTAGAAAGCCACTTATTTCATTTCTTAATTACGTCTTATATTATCGAGGATTTTATTATATTTTTAAATGTTATATGAGAAAACTCTGCATTATTTAGATTTTTATATAAATTTTTAACCTATTTTGAAAACCGTTTGTAATTATTTAATAAAATTTTCTAGTTGATTATATACTCGACTATATAAGATGTAGGAGTGTGGTGGTGTAAACAGCGTGGTGGCAGACTGTGGGAAATACCAGACACTCTCATTCTGCTGGCACTTCTGCTGACCTACACTTGCTGCACACAATCTACTCTGTATTCCTTAGGGGTTTTTATCGGTCGTCTGGGTGTCCTGCCCAGACGTTAAGCTCGAAAACTACGGCCACACTAGAGAAATAAGAAGGGGATCGTAATGTCGGCTAAAGCGCTTTTGAAGTCCAAGTAAGTGTGGTTGACTTGATTTTTTTTTTTTTTTTTGAGCTGCTAAGCTTTACTCCCACTTTAGGGACGCTGAAGAACTCTTGAGCCAAGGAGTTTGAGACCAGTCTCCTTGGATCAATCCTGATTGCCTTCTATTCCCCAGGGAAAGGAAATGTTGCAGTGACTATTGGGTCATCCAACGTTAATCTGTGCTATTTTTTGCATCATTAAATAATGATATTCATTACTGACAAGACGAGGAATTAAACACATAGGTAACACCTGGGTAGGTTTCTTTGAAGACATTTAGCCAAGTAGTAGCTTTATCAATTCACTTCAGAGATGATATGCAAAGACAGTAAAAGTTATGGTTATAATCAGTGCCCCATCCTTGCTACATTTTCCTGCCTATATATCAATACTCAGGCTGAGGGACTGCAAGGACCCCACTGGAAATATATCATTTTGTCTGATTTTTGGGTTATCCTAGGTAATTTACACATAGTATATATGATAATTATACTTATGAGTACTTTTACCTAAATAAACTTACTTATCCTCTACTGTCTTTTCATATCACCACTGGTTGCTGAAACATCTTCAGATAAAGATACCCAGGTGTTACCCATGTATCTAATTCACCACTACATTTGTTTGCCCATAACAGGGGTGTATCCTCAAGACTATTGTAAAAATGTGTTCCCCTTAAAGAAGAATCTTTGATACTGGTGAAGTATCTCTGAAGGAATTGGACCTGGGCTCCAATTCCTGGAATTGAATATGAATGCCTTCTATTCCCTAAGGTGCTGTATAACCCCCTGTGGGTTTAGTGCTCCTAAATGAATGTAATAATATTAATTTAAAAATGTGTATATGTATATAAGTATTCAAGACCTAATTGAAAATCTACTTATCCTTATAGATCTAGTGCTTCCCCATAATAATAATAATAATAATAAAGAAAGCAGGGTTTGATAAACAGCAACCTCCCAGGGAGGTACTACCATCCTGTCACATGACTGTGAAGCAGAAACCTATTAGCTAAATGGTTTGCATTGCAAGGATTACTGGGCTTTTCTTTGTCTCAAGAACATAAGATTACATGTAAATTTTGCAACTACTACTAACATCCTGCAAACATTACAAACAGTACATGCAAATGTGCATTATATGTGTGTGTGTATGTATACATACACAAAGTAATAATTTGGGACTGCACAAAAAATCAAAAGGAAATGGGCACTGCAAAAGTCTTGTGATTAATTTAAGTTTTCTATAAAGTGCCCTTAAGCTAAAGTATAAAATAATTGAATCAAACAGATTACAAAGTGTGCTAATCTTGGGGTTTCTCTGATGTTTTATGGGGGTGATTCCATCATGTAAAATTTTGTATTTAATAAAACAAAAGACCATAAATTTCTGGTTACATGCTTTGAAACGGTGTGAATAAAATTTTAAATTTTGTCAACCAAACCTCCAGCCGATGAACCTCCTCCCTTTTTCTCCCCAAATTAAATAATCGGGCCTTGCCCAAAACTTTTTATTAACCCCAATTTTTACTTTTGGGAAATTTTTAATAATAAAAATTTCAAAATTCCCCAATTCATCCCAAGGAGGTTCAAAACCCCTGGTTACCAATATGTCTTCCAACTTTAAACTTTTCTTTAAAATAAATTCCATTTTCCATTAACTAAAAAGCGCCAATTTTTCCCTAACTAACAGGGGCCCAATTTTTTCATGTTGGATAATTTAAATTTGATTTTTTCAAAACCAGGGTACTTCACCCCCCGGTTCGCTTTTTGATATTATAGAACTTACAATCAAAATTGGGGACCGAAACTCCTTATTTTTTGGGTTATTGCTTCAAGGGCCATATTTTGGACTATTCAAGGCCCTTTATTTAACAGGTAACTTAAATTTGATTTGGGGATTTTTAATTGTTTAGGGTCAGGGAAAACTTTTAAGTAAAAGTTTGGATTAATTCCCCATTGTTAAAGCACTTCCATCACAACTGCATAAGCAGCGGGCATATTTAAATGGAAGGTGAGTAATAGTAATTTTCTTTGGAAAAGCGAAATTAAAAAGAATAATTCTTTTTGTATTGCAATGTTCACGGACCAGAATTAACATAGAGAGAGATAAAACTCACAGCCGGGCTATACAGGCAAAAGAGACCATCGCAGTAAAATTCCTTCGGTCTAAAGTTTTCAAACAGGAACTGCAAAATGGTAAAGGCAAGCGCACGTTTTACAGGTGAGAATTTTAAAGGAGAAAGACCACATTCAAAAGAAGAGGAACTGGCCCCTTGCATATGCAGGGCCCAATACCCATTCCCTTAAAAAGCACCATCCGCTTCATGTAAGCCTTTTTAAAGTCATTAGCCTTTATAAAACTCAAAATGGTGAAAACCAAAGAAAAATTATGAAACCAGGGACAAAAAGGGAATAGCTTGTAATTTACTCACACATTAATTGAAAGGTGGAAGCTCAAAAGGAATCTTAATTTGGTGAATTTTATTTCCAACGGGGTATTGTCTTTAATTTTCAATTGGCCATATTTTTCCCAAAAGTTTTGTTTTTTTTTTTCAACATCAAAACCCCCCAAATTTAAACATCCAAAGGTTACCAACCAATGTAAGGAAAGGCAAAGGACTAGGTTATATATTTATGAACAATGGGGGGAAAGGTGTTGTAAAGGGAAAAAAATGGCCAGGGTTTCCACTTAAAGGGGGAAACAACCATGGACACCAGTTTTGGGGGGGAAGATGGGGTTGCGTCCCAAGAAGCATGGGACACCCATTTAGGGGTTTGAAAGGGGGAGGTGGGTAGGTAGTTTAACGGGAACAATTCCCAATTACCCCCTCCCACGGTCCCCTTACTCCAAAACAAAATTGGAGAAAATAAGGGGAGGAATTTTCTTTTCATCAAAACCTTTTATTAATTTTTAAAATTTTAATTATTGAAGGGGGCTTATGGTTTGGAAAAATTTGGGGGTTGTTTTGGGGGATACAATTTAAAAAGGGTTTTAATTTTAAAATTTGACGGGGGGTTACCAAAAACCTCAGTCCCAAGCCACAGCAGGTATGGAAAAGTTTTGCCAATGCATTTAACAGTTTCCAAGTATTAGAGCCTTCTTGACCCCAACAAGTTCAATCTCTCTGTTTTTGGGTTTAAAATTCCAAAAATAACAAATAGCCGTTTGCCTATTACCCTAAAAAAAGTCAAATGGTTTTTAAAAAAAGGGAAGTTTTGAAAAGGGCCAAGGTGTTCCCTTTTTGGTTAATTGGAGAAACCTAAACCCCAGTATTATACATGTATAGTATTGTAGTACTGTATATCTCTTGGTTTTGCTATAACATTAGTATTTAAACTGTATGCACTTATTGCACTACTACTATAATAATTCTTCCATATCTTGCTAGGTGACAAATGATGGTGAAGCCTTATTATGTGAGTGTGGGGATAATGTGGGGGTGGTCTCTCTCACCAACGGTCAAGTCACAGGTCGAATTCATTGTGAAGATGATCAGGTAACATCCATAGCCCTGTCCCCAGACAACTCCTCTGTTGTTGTAGCACTTAAGTCTACAACCCTTCAGCAGTACCATTGGCCAAGTAATTTTCATGTATATTTTGCTTCTAAAGTTTGTAACACTGAATTAGCAATTCAATAGGAATCATTGTAGTTTATTAGCAATGAAAGTTGATTAGATTGCATACAACTGCAGCCTTTGAAATGGCATTATAATTCCTTTCTTTATATGCAAGTTAGCAACTCTGAATTGGCAGCTTAAAGAATAATAAACAGTATGACATATTAGAAAGAAAAGCTATTTTTCTCTAGTTATTAACTGCAATTATTTAAAATTGCACACATTTTAGTATTATTACTTGACTACAAAATTGTTTTTTTTAGGTCTGATTAATACGAAGCTTCAGATCATATCACCGTGGTCCTGTGACTGTGATGAACTGGGACACAACATCCACATTGCTTATCAGTGGGGCTGCGGACTCCTCTGTCCGGATATGGGACCTTCACCAGAAATATTGTACTCATAGTCTTAAAGGTGCCTCTGGGGTGTTTGGGTAAGTCAGTAAGTGGTTATTTGTTTTTTTTTATTTGAGTCTCACTTTGTATATCTTGAAATACAAATGAATACAGGTCCACAACCCTTTATCCAAAACCCTTAGGGCCAGTATTGTTTTGAATTTCAGAATTTTAGATAGAGGGTTGTGGACCTGTACACATGTGTTTTTAAATCTATGGGAACTTCATGTCATTTGTCACATGGTTATTTTATTTCTTTGATGTTATGTGTGTACTCCATTTATGTGGCTAAACATGTTTTGAAAGTGGGCTGTTTCCACAATTGCTTTATAAAAATACTTGTTAGTCCTTTCTTTTTCTAAGCAGTGAAAGAAGACTTAATGTGTATTATGACCAAGTTGCTGTCCATATACAGAAGTATGAATCAGTGGAAGTACAGTTGAGGACTATAATCACATAAGGCAGTCAAACAGTTAAGTTATTCAATTTCAGTGCAGTAATATTTGATCGTGAGCTGACCAAACGACCAAGGGTATATGGGGCAGCAGCTAATACCATACATGTGTGGACTCTGCAGGCTGGTTCATCACAGCATGATAATTCTCTGGAAGGTCACCACTCAGCTGTTACCTCACTGGAAATCACACAAGATAATGCACACCTTGTCAGGTATATGTACAACATCTTTGAGCTTATAGCTATTCAAATGGTAAAATAGTGGATTAAGCATTTGCTCCACAGAATTAAATGAAGTTATATCTGGTAGGTATTTTGCTTGCTCTTTAACTGATTGTGTACTGTACATGTATATGTATACTGGTTTGTGATCAGTATACTGTATTAGAACTGACACATTTTTAAGAAGATAGTTGTTGATAAATGTTGTATAGGTGTCTCAGTTATCAACTTGTCAGCGTTCTAAACCATTTATTTGAGATGGTTGTTGCTAATTGATAGTATGGTATGAAGCATGAAAGTCCCAATGCCATAGCTAGAACAGTTCACAACTACCCACAATTAGGAGAGGAAACTTTAGACAGTCTTTCATTCTGTCCTAGATATTTATCAGATCATGAGTCCTTGATAATTACACAGAATATCATATAGTCGGACTTGAGTCCTGGAAATGGGAAGTACAATGCCTGCACTTTAACCCTTTCAGGGTCCGTCCCGTAGATCTATGGCTGGTCGGTGAGTGTCCAAACCGTAGATCTACGCCAAAATTCTAGCGCCGTCAAATTTAGCGCGAAAGCGCTCATAGGCCTACGTATGAGAGAATGGGTGTGCGCCGTAAACAAAAAATCTAGGCGCCTGCATAGCATTGTGGGAACGCCGGCTCAGTCACCCTTGTTCACCATGTCTCGTCGCAAGTCGGCCTCACTCCCCGGAAAATTGGGACTCTCCTCTTCCTGTCTGATAGTTCTGACACTGATGGAAGGGAAATGAAGAGAATTCTACGGCTTTGATAAGTTAGTGACCAAAAATAATGCCAGGATATCGATAATAGTGCAGAAAACCCGACGATCCTCACCTTCTACCTCTGGTGTGGGAAACTCGTGACTCAGGGTTTCGGGTGTTCCTAAACGTAAGAGAAAACTAATATTTCCCGTGGCCTGGCCTCTGACTTCAGAAAATGACGATGTTTCTGACGGGGATTGTGATTTATTGCGCTCGACGATCATTCGAGTAGTGATAGTGAGGAAACATATTCACCAGTGAAGCGTCGGTATGTTCGCCGCCGCATGCGCTTGGGTAGTTTTACCCTTTTGCTGTCCCCAGGGGGACGGATTTTCATCCCGGAGTACATCCCGGAGTACATCCGGGGCCCTACACCGTTTTAGGAGTGATAGTGAGGATGATGTGGTACACTTGGCATGGAGGGCCACAGACATCAGTGGATGGTGTTAGTGGGGCTGGTGGGGTAGTGGCACCGCCATGTGTGACTCGCTTGTGCCAGCGGGAACCCACGCTGCTGACTCGTCAGTTCAAGGACAAAGCGGAGCGTCACCCACCAGCCCGCCACAACCACCCGACAACCAGCCTATGATGTCCAGTCCACCAGCAAACCGTATCTGGGATTGGCAGCAAAATCCCAATTTTGTTCCCGCCCTCACCACTTTGATGACTCGCAAAGTGGAATCTACCTACTGCCCCCTTGGAACCAGGGCCCCAATGAACTGGAATTCTTTGAATTATTCTTTGACCACCCATTGATGGAAATTATGTCAGGGAAAGTAATAAGTATTTTCAGTACACCATGGCAAAACGATCTTATCACCACAGTCAAGACTACACAGGTGGAAAGAGAGGACTGTTGCAGAAATGTATTTGTTTTTTTGCAACAATAATGCTTATGCCTCACGTCTATAAGCATAATAAAAAAAGCATACTGGTCCACAGATCGGCTAATTTGTACCCCATCCTTCAGTGAAATAATACCAGTGAAAGGTTTATCTTACTGTTACGTAGTTGCACTTCTCTGACAAAACCAGGCCTGACAGAAGTGCAGGTTATACAAGATTAGAAATGTTTTCATGTACTCAAAACAAAAGTTCAGGGTATACTTTTATCCATTCAAGAATCTTGTAATTGACGAAATCTTTGATTTTTTCAAAGGTAGACTGTATTCAAGCAGTATATACCGAGCAAGAGGAAAACCGCTTTGGTATAAAATTGTTTGTACTCTGTGATTGTGACAGTGGCCCGGGTTGGATATTGTTGTATACACGGGTAGTAAAACATTGAAAGATACCCAAAATGTTATTGGGTATATCAGGTGACGTAGTGAGAAACATGATGGCACCTTATCTTGGTAAGGGCCATACATTATATACCGATAACTGGTACACAAGCCCATTACTCAGTGATTTCATGCGAGTGAACAAGACAGATGTGTGTGGCACAGTGCGTTCTAATCGTAAACATATGCCAGGCTCAACGCAGGTGTTTGTGGTGATGACGTGCAGGTGTTTACTGCCAATGACATCATGGCAATACGGTGGCATGACAAACGAATGTCACATTGTTGACAACATCACCCGTAATGAAATGCAAGACAGTGGCAAAGTTGATCGAGTGACAATGAACGTATTCGAAAACCAGTGACAGTGATTGAAATTTTACACAAAACATGCGCTTGGTTGACAAGTGTGACATGCAGATTGGTTTTTTTTGACTGTGTTCATAAGAGTTACAAGTGGTACATAAACTTTTCTTCCATTTTCATGGACATTTCAAATGCTGAATGCATAATATGTACCAAAAAAAGACTGGTAAAAAGACCACCGTATGGGAATTTTGTTTGTCTGTTGTCAGACAACTCATAATGAAGTACCAGGTAACAACACCTGCAATACAACATGGTCCTCGAATTCATCACAATATACCCAAGCGGGTTTTGGGAAGAGAAAGGGGATCATTTATAATACAGCTTCCTTCAACTCAAAAGAAAATTTGCTCAGAAGAGATGCATTGTCTGTGCACAAACAAAACGACGGCACAAAGACGCAAGCACTCGGTTATGTGTGGAGTAAGGTGCCTCGTGCATGGTGCCTTGTTTCAAGGAGTTCCACAAGTCCAGCAGTTCTAAAACCCTGTCCAGTGATTGTAAATATGTAAATATATGATAGAACATTAGTATTATACATATTTGTGCATGTTTATTGTAATAAACAACAGTGGTAAACAATAATATGATAATAACTTTAGTGCGGTTATTGTGTTCAATACGTGAGTTTATATATACATTATATACAGTATTGGTCCTCAGCCCCAAATGTTAGTAGGAATAGAAAAAAATTGGAAAAGAAAAAAAAAACAACTAAAACAACAAAATAATATAATACGCGTATGTGGAATTCGTCGATGTTGCCGCCACCACAACATTTTCTACAAACTTCTTGGGACTGTATCTCGGTAAGTACTGATCGATTCTTTAATTTTTTTTGTTGTATTACCTTCACAAAAATATGCTCTTTAATTCTGTTAAAAAAAAAAATTAATTTTTTTTTTTTTTTCAAAATTTCTTGGAACTGGGGGCTGACTTCAGTTTTTGGCCCTTTGGACCCTAAAAGGGTTTAAAAGGGGGGTTTTTGGGATATTGGCAGTTTGGGGGGGATATGTTGTGAAATCTTTATATGTGTAGGGCTTCAAAACTTTGTATTCTGAGAAACCTCTAAAAAAATAGTAAAAATTGGCGAGTGTGGGGGATAAAAGTGTTGAATGATGATAAAGTATTTTTTTTTTGGGGGGATTTTCTTTTTTTTTTTTGGGGGGTTTCACCCTGCCTCGGTGGGGAACGGCCCCGACTTTTTTTAAAAAAAAAAAAAAAATTTTGAAGGGAAATTTAGGAAACTGGCAGGCCGGACTTAAGTCCTGGAGTTGGGTAATTTCCGTTCTCACTCAGAAAGGGGGGGTGTTACTGTTTCGTTTTTTTAACTGAAATTTTAAAGGGAAAACCCCTGGCAAGACGTGTTTGGGGTGAATTTTTGAAAAAAATCTTTTTTTTTTTTCGGGGCCAAACCCCGCCTTTGGGGGGAAAAGGGCCCAATGTGTTAATAATAAAAAAAATAATAATGTACAGTACATGTACTGCATGTGTTAAATAGCAGCATACTTTAATGCTATATTCATTTTATATTTTGTGTATTTCTCAGTGAATTTGAGCTTTTTCATCATGATAAGATTATTTTATTTAGAAATTATAGGATTTGCATGCAGAAAAACCAGAAACACTAATGAAGAACAGTTCTTCCCAATTGCCAGTTATTTACTTTGATATACAGTAGAACCCCCGTATCCACTGATTCGGTATCCATGGTTTCAGTTATCCACGTTTACTGTGGCCTAAAAATACCTCTTAATTTTGTATAATAATGGCCCCAGTGTGCAAAAGTAGAGAAGCTGGCAGTTCTTCAAAGCCTAAGAGAAGATGCAAAGTGCTTCCCATCAGAGAAGAAGTGATAATTCTCCACCTATTGTGCATAATTTATCAATTAAACTTTATAATAGGTATGTCTAGGACTTATATGTAGGGTTTGCTACTGTCTGCAGTTTCAGTATCCATGGCAGGTCCTTGGAATGTATCCCTTACAGATATGGGTGTCCGACTGTACTTGCATATTTTCAAACACTGCTTAATTAGTGTGTGTCATAAGAGGAAACTGAAGTGCTTGGAGCAATGGGCTATTAACCCCTTCTCCTGTATAAATTACTAAATTTACAAAAAAAACTTTTGTTTTTCTTCTTAGGTCACCCAGGGTCAGTGGGATGTGGCTGGTATTTTAAAAAAAAAAAAAATTTCTTTCCATAACTATACTATTATTTCAGTTGTGGGTTGGACCGTGTTATCATCGTGTGGGAGCTGGCAACCATGGTCAGCAAGAAAGTTGTGCCAGTATTTGAGTCTATCTCAGGCTTTGTGTTACAGCCTCCTGGCACTGTCTTTCCTGGAGCTAAGGCAGGGGATGGCCACATATATGCTCTTGTTGTCGGCGATAAAGGTTAGTATAGAGATTTGTGTTATATTTAACTCCTTAATAAAGTGATCTGCAACAGTTAGATGTTCACTGAATGAAAGAAGATATGTACATTGTTCTGGGGTTTCATTTAGCATTAAACTTATTTGGGTCATTCTGACCAAGAACTAATTGAAGCTCGATCCTCTGTACACTAATTGCAGCCTGGTCTTTGATAATTCAGGCTGTTGGGTATGATATACGTGACTAAAAATGAGGTAAAAATATATTCAGGAATATGTAAGTAGAAGATCACCACATAAAAAAAATATTTAAGAGAAAAACTTAATAAAATGCAAGCACATGTAAACAGCAGAGGAATCCTTGTCAGTGATCTATGTCACTTACAAGGATTCCTATCTTTGTTATTATTATTCATGAGGAAGCTCAAAACATGTAATGAGTGGGGGACAATCAGGATTGGTTTGAGGAAGAAGAGGGGTAGCTCCATTTCCTTGGATCAAGAGAAATTCACCAGCATCAAGGCACCTATTCTGTGTTATTTTCCTTTTACTTTTACATTTGTTTATGTAGTATAGGAGTGTTAATGTATGTGTGTTTTGCCTCTTGATCCTAATCCTTGTTAACTTCTCTCTCAGGAATTCCTGCAGTATGGCAGGTGGATGCTGGTCGGGAAGTGTGGAAGGCTTCAGCACCGGTGCTGACACCACCTGATAAAGTTGGAGTTACTTTAATTAATCAAGTGACTCACTCACCATCCCTTGACTCCATTATTATGACTACCTATGATCATTCAGTAATCTTTGCAAAGACCTCTTCTCTGGATATATGGAAACAGGTTCAATCCTTATTTTATGCATTCTTCTATTTTTTAAAAATTTAGATAATTAGTTTTCTCACTTTCTTAATATTTATAGCGTAACCTAAGTGTTCTTATTTCCATGTGACTTATTATTTTATCTGCTACTGTGAAAATCGTTATTGTCTTATATATACATATTTGTAAAATGCTATAGTCCTTTGAGACATAAGTTAGGTTTAATCTTGCCCAAAATGATCTGCGTAACTAAGGGGCTTTCCATATGACAGATGCAATGTCTTCCAATTTTGTATAAATGATATATCATATGGAAATAAATTGATTCATTCATTCATGTCAAAACTACACTGCCAAGAAGCCAAAAATTTGGGCAACCTTACACAAAATTCAACAAATTCTAATTTAAAAAAAAAAAAATCCAAAATAAACATGGTATGGATTTCAGCAACTAAAGCAATCTTTTTTCAGTAATCACATTCCCAAGCCTCTCCTATATTACACTTGCCTTCTGTTTTGAATACATCATTACACAAAAAATAAAAAGTTTTACCATATTTCTCAGATAATAAAATATAACCAGGTATGATTGGGCAAAGTTTTCAAGTTTTCCGAAAATTGAAGCAGACCTAGTTAAAAAAAAAATGATAGGGAGTTGGCTTACCATTCCAAAGGAAAATTTTGTCAACAATCGAATATTTCAGTAGTACAGTGGAACCTCGAGTTTCGGCTGTAATCCATTCCAGAAGCTCGGCCGAAACTCAAATTGTTCGAAAATCGAAGCAATATTTCCCATAATAAATAATATAAATCCAATTAGTCCATTCCAGACACCCAAAAATATTCACAAAAAACTCACTTTTTAAAGAATAAATATAGTTTTACATATATATGCAGCAAGGAGGCAGTTGGAGGCAGTGGAGATATCCTGTCTAAGGGCAGTGTGTGGTGTAAATATTATGCAGAAAATTCGGAGTGTGGAAATTAGGAGAAGTGTGGAGTTAATAAAAGTATTAGTCAGAGGGCTGAAGAGGGTTTGTTGAGGTGGTTTGGTCATTTAGAGAGAATGGATCAAAGTAGGATGACATGGAGAGTGTTTAAATCTGTAGAGGAAGGAAGGTTGGGTAGGAGTCATCCTCGAAAAGGTTGGAGGGAGGGGGTAAAGGAGGTGTTGTGGGCGAGGGTTTTGGACTTCCAGCAAACGTGCATGAGCGTGTTAGATAGGAGTGAATGGAGACAAATGGTATTTGGGACCTGACGAGCTGTTGAAGTGTGAGCAGGGTAATATTTAGTGAAGGGATTCAGGGAAACCGGTTATATTATATAACCAGACTTGAGTCCTGGAAATGGAAAGTACATTGCCTGCACTCTAAAGGAGAGGTTTGGAATATTGGCAGTTTGGAGGGATATATTGTGTATTTTTATACGTATATACATGTACTTCTAAACTGTTGTATTCTGGGCACCTCTGCAAAAACAGTGATTATGTGTGAGTGTGGTGAAAGTGTTGAATGATGATGAAAGTATTTTCTTTTTGGGTCACCCTGCCTCGGTGGGAGATGGCCGGCATGTTGAAAAAAAAAAAATTATATACTTTTACCGAAGACTCTTGTTGGCTTATGGAAGACAGGGAAAAGGAGACTTTGTTTGGAAACAGGACAAGATACTCATTCCATATGATGCTAATATCAACTCAACAGCTTGTTTATTGATCACAATTGATCTAATATGACATAATAAACAATATTAATAACATAGAAACATGATATATATTTTAGAATGAATAAAATATATCATTACGTATGTCACGAGTGGTGGTGGCGAGTTGTTGTTGTTGTTGTGGGTTACAAAGGCCACTGGCAGCATAAGGCGTGTAGTGGTGGTGGTGCGGCGGTGTTGTCAGTAACCCTATATACCTCCAATAACATTGGAGGGGTTAGTTTCGTATCCTTTTTCTATCACTTAATCACTTAACTTACTTGCTACACTTTATCACTGGCTGGCACTACATATGTATAACCTTTATCAACTCCTGCTACTTTATATTTGTACATATTGTAGAATCACTGAATCACTGAAGAAGGCACATTCTCCCCTCTCTCTTCCTCCTCCACTTTCATACTTTGCTACAATTTCTTTCTTCAGTTCTATTGTGTTTCTCACTTTCTTTACCAAAGGGGTGGCACTAGAAAGTTTCTTTGGGCCCATGGTTAATTACGTAGCAGTCACACTCAAGCAACAAGCACCAAAAACAATGGGCTGTATTGTGAAATGTTTGGATGAAAGTGCAGGGTAATGTTCACTTGAGGAGAAACAAAGCCAGACTGACCCACAATGCATGCGTGGGATGCTTTGTGGGCACGGGCAGGCGGACAGGACTGGTACGGCAGCCGAAACTCAAGGTACTGTTCGAAACTCAAGACAGAATATAGCCCAAAAAAGTGACCGAAAATCAAAACGGCCAGAACTTAGGGCAGCCGAAACTCAAGGTTCCACTGTATATATTTTTGATTCTGTCAAATGATGCCAAGAAACTGCCAATAAAACTACTTTAAACCATACTCAGGGTTGAAAGTTTGCTTTCCCATCATGCACTGTGTGAGGCAGGATTTTTTTTTATTCTGTGGACACTCACTGCACAGATCTGTTCACTCCTGAATAGGCCAAAAGTTGCCACTCAGAGCATATTTGAAGGTGCTGAACTTTAGTGCAATAAATTTGAATGTTTTATGTATAAGATTTCATCTGTCTTTGTGAATAGACTTAAAAAGAGCCACAAAGTCATCACTATATAGAAATGTAATTAACTCTTTTAATTTTTATGCTATTTTACATGCTGTATCATTTAAAGAAAGCACTTACCATAAAGAGGGTGGTAAGGTCTCCACAGGAAACAGCCAGAGAGTTAATTAGTAGTTCAATTTGTATGGAGAAGTAACTTGAAATTTATGTAACATTTAAAGAACACAGAGTAATTAATAAATACCTTAATTGTTATTACATTTTCTACTGTACTGAGATTGTGATAAGAAAACTTCACATGCTACAGTGGTACCCCGAGTTTCGTACAGCTCCCAACTCGAACAGTTATGTAAGTGTATTATTGTAAGTGCTTTTGTAAGCGTATTTTTGAGGGTCTGAAACGGACTGATCTAATTTACATTATTCCTTATGGGAACAAATTCGTTCAGTAACAGCACTCGAACAGCCTTCTGGAATGAATTATGGCTGAAACTCGGGGTACCACTGTATACGCATGCTAGTGGTGATAATCAAATTCAAATTCATTGTTGCCTGCCTGTTTGTCACATCTTTAATGAAGGCTATCTTTATCCTTCCTTTTCTAATACTGTACCTGTTTGTTACATCAACTGTAACTCTCATCCCTTCCTTTCTGCCATTGTCCTTCTCTCAACACTACTACCACCTCTCCTTTACTATATATTTTCACCTCTGTATAGCACTAAATTACATGAATTGTGTATACAAGTAATTTTCCCTTCCTGTAATACCAACCTAGAAAACACCAATACAAACATGTCCAAATATTGGGCAATGTGTGGTGTAAATATTATGCAGGGAATTCATAGTGTGGAAATTAGGAGGTGTAGAGTTACTAAAAGTATTAGTCAGAAGGCTGAAGAGGGGATTGAGGTGGTTTGGTCATGTAGAGACGATGGAACAAAGAATGACTTGGAGAGTGTATAAATCTGTTGAGGAAGGAAGGCGGGGTAGGGGTCGTCCTAGAGAAGGTTGAAGGGAGGGGGGTAAAGGAGGTTTTGTGGGCGAGGGGCTTGGACTTCCAGCAAGTGTGCGCGAGCATGTTAGATAAGAGGGAATGGAGACTGATGGTTTTTGGGACCTGACAAGCTGTTGGAGTGTGAGCAGGGTAATATTTTGTGAAGGGATTCAGGAAAACTGGTTAGCCAGACTTAAGTACTGGAGGTGGGAAGTACAGTGCCTGCACTTTAAAGAAGGGGTTTGGGATATTGGCTGTTTGGAGTGATATCTGAACTGTCATATCTGAGTGCCTCTGCAAAGACAATGATTATGTATGAATGATGGTGAAAGTGTTGAATGATAAAAGTTTTTTCTTTCTTTCTAGGGTCACCCTGCCTCAGTGGGAGACAGTCGATGTGTTAAAAAACATGAGTTAAGTGGCAAAATTTAAAAGCTCTACTGTATATATGACAATATAGGCTGACTAAAAAAAACATTGTATTTCAGCTTGCAGGTTATAATGATCAAATTCTGGATGCCATTTTTGTGGGTGCAGGAGAAAGCCATCTGGTGGTGGCCACAAATAGCATACAGCTTCGTATTTACAACTGTCAAAGCTTCAGCTGTCATCTAATACAGGGGCACACTGCCCTTGTATTAGCACTATGTAGACATCCAACTCAGCCACAAATATTTGCTTCAAGGTATGTTTTTTACCACTGTGTAATGTATTGCTCTTTGATGCATGTGTCCTGGGTTCTTGTTTTTGTTGTCATAAGTGGATAGAGGGGCAACTGATATATCAAATCATTATTTAGTTGTAGCTACAGTTAGAGTAAGAGGTAGATGGGAAAAGAGGAAAATGGCAACAACAAGTAAGAGGGAGGTGAAAGTGTATAAACTAAGGGAGGAGGAAGTTTGGGTGAGATATAGGCAACTATTGGCAGAAAGGTGGGCTGGTGCAAGTATGAGTAGTGGGGGGGGGGGGGGGTTGAAGAGGGTTGGAATAGTTTTAAAAATGCAGTATTAGAATGTGGGGCAGAAGTTTGTGGTTATAGGAGGGTGGGTGCAGGAGGAAAGAGGAGTGATTGGTGGAATGATGAAGTAAAGGGTGTGATAAAAGAGAAAAAGGTAGCTTATGAAAGGTTTTTACAAAGCAGAAGTGTTATAAGAAGAGTAGAGTATATGGAGAGTAAAAGAAAGGTGAAGAGAGTGGTGAGAGAGTGCAAAAGGAGAGCAGATGATAGAGTGGGAGAGGCACTGTCAAGAAATTTTAATGAAAATAAGAAAAAATTTTGGAGCGAGTTAAACAAGTAAAGAAAGCCTAGGGAACAAATGGATTTGTCAGTTAAAAACAGAGTAGGGGAGTTAGTAGATGGGGAGATGGAGGTATTGGGTAGATGGTGAGAATACTTTGAGGAACTTTTAAATGTCGACGAAGAAAGGGAGGCGGTAATTTCATGCACTGGCCAGGGAGGTATACCATCTTTTAGGAGTGAAGAAGAACAGGATGTGAGTGTGGGGAAGGTGCATGAGGCATTATGTAGAATGAAAGGGGTAAAGCAGCTGGAACTGATGGGATCATGACAGAAATGTTAAAAGCAGGGGTGGATATAGTGGTGGAGTGGTTGGTATTTTTGTTTAATAAATGTATGAAAGAGGGGAAGGTACCTAGGGATTGGTGGAGAGCATGTATAGTCCCTTCATATAAAGGGAAGGGAGACAAAAGAGATTGTAAAAATTAAAGAGGAAGAAGTTTACTGAGTATACCAGGAAAAGTGTACGGTAGGGTTATAATTGAAAGAATTAGAGGTAAGACAGAATGTAGGATTGTGGATGAGCAAGGAAGTTTTAGAGTGGGTAGGAGATGTGTAGATCAAGTGTTTACATTGAAGCATATATTATTATTATTATCACACCGGCCGATTCCCACCAAGGCAGGGTGGCCCGAAAAAGAAAAACTTTCACCATCATTCACTCCATCACTGTCTTGCCAGAAGGGTGCTTTACACTACAGTTTTTAAACTGCAACATTAACACCCCTCCTTCAGAGTGCAGGCACTGTACTTCCCATCTCCAGGACTCAAGTCCGGCCGGGCCGGGTTTTCCCCTGAATCCCTCATAAATGTTACTTTGCTCCACCTCCAACAGCACGTCAAGTATTAAACCATTTGTCTCCTTCACTCCTATCAAACACGCTCACGCATCCCTGCTGGAAGTCCAGCCCCTCGCACACAAAACCTCCTTTACCCCCTCCTCCAACCCTTCCTAGGCCGCCCCTACCCCGCCTTCCTTCCACTACAGACTGATACACTCTTGAAGTCATTCTGTTTCGCTCCATTTCTCTCAAGTCCGAACCACCTCAACAACCCTTCCTCAGCCTCTGGACAACAGTTTGGAAATTTCCCGCACCTCCTCCTACTTCCCAAACTACGAATTCTCTGCATTATATTCACACCACACATTGCCCTCAGACATGACATCTCCACTGCCTCCAGCCTCTCCTCGCTGCAACTTTCATCCCCCACGCTTCCACCCATATAGAGTTGGTAAAACTATACTCTCTACATTCCCCTCTTTGCCTCCAAGGACAAAGTTCTTTGTCTCCACAGACTCCTAAGTGCACCACTCACTCTTTTTCCTCATCAATTCTATGATTCACCTCATCTTTCATAGACCCCTCCGCTGACACGTCCACCCCAAATATCTGAATCGTTCACCTCCTCCATACTCTCTCCCTCCAATCTGATATTTAATCTTTCATCACCTAATCTTTTTGTTATCCTCATAACCTTACTTTTCCTGTATTCACCTTTAATTTTTTCTTTTGCACACCCTACCAAATTCATCCACCAATCTCTGCAACTTCTCTTCGAAATCTCCCAAGAGCACAGTGTCATCAGCAAAGAGCGCTGTGACAACTCCCCCTTTGTGTGTGATTCTTTATCTTTTAAAATCCACGCCTCTTGCCAAGGGCCCTCGCATTTACTTCTCTTACAACCCCATCTATAAATATATTAAACAACCACGGTGACATCACACATCCTTGTCTAAGGCCTACTTTTACTGGGAAAAAATTTCCCTCTTTCCTACTTTCTCTAACTTGAGCCTCACTATCCTCGTAAAAACTCTTCACTGCTTTCAGTAACCTACCTCCTACCCCATACACTTGCAACATCTGCACATTGCCCCCCTATCCACCCTGTCATACGCCTTTTCCAAATCCTAAATGCCACAAAGACCTCTTTAGCCTTATCTAAATACTTTTCACTTATATGTTTCACTGTAAACACCTGGTTCCCACACCCCCCTACCTTTCCTAAAGCCTCCTTGTTCATCTGCTATCCTATTCTCCGTCTTACTCTTATTTTTTCAATTATAACTCTACCTTACACTTTACCGGTACACTCAACAAAACTTACCCCCTATAATTTTGCACTCTCTTTTATCCCCTTTGCCTTTATAAAAAGGGAAAAACTATGCATGCTCTCTGCCAATCCCTAGGTACCTTACCCTCTTCCTACTTTTATTAAAATAATTGCACCAACCACTCCAAAACTATTTTCCCCACCTGCTTTTAACATTTCTATCTTTACCCCATCAATCCGGCTGCCTTACCCCCTTTCATTTTACCTACTGCCTCACGAACTTCCCCCACACTCACAACTGGCTCTTCCTCACTCCTACAAGATGTTATTCCTCCTTGCCCTATACACGAAATCAAAAGCTTCCCTATCTTCATTTAACATTTAACAATTCCTCAAAATATTCCTTCCATCTTCCCAATACCTCTAACTCTCCATTTAATAACTCTCCTCTCCTATTTTTAACTGACAAATCCATTTGTTCTCTAGGCTTTCTTAACTTGTTAATCTCACTCCAAAACTTTTTCTTATTTTCAACAAAATTTGTTGATAACATCTCACCCACTCTCTCATTTGCTCTCTTTTTAAAATTTCTTCACCACTCTCTTAATTCTCTCTTTTCTCCATATACTCTTCCCTCCTTTCATCACTTCTACTTTGTAAAAATTCTCATATGCTAACTTTTTCTCCCTTACTACTCTCTTTACATCATCATTCCACCAATCGCTCCTCTTCCCCCTGCACCCACTTTCCTGTAACCACAAACTTCTGCTGAAACTCTAACACTACATTTTTAAACCTACCCCATACCTCTTCGCCCCCATTGCCTATGCTCTCTTTAGCCCATCTATCCTCCAATAGCTGTTTATATCTTACCCTAACTCCCTCCTCTTTTAGTTTATAAACCTTCACCTCTCTCTTCCCTGATGCTTCTATTCTCCTTGTATCCCATCTACCTTTTACTCTCGTGTAGCTACAACTAGAAAGTGATCTGATATATCTGTGGCCCCTCTATAAACATGTCATCCTGAAGTCTACTCAACAGTCTTTTATCTACCAATAAAATATCCAACAACTACTGTCATTTCGCCCTACATCATAACGTGTATACTTATTATCCTCTTTTTCTTAAAATATGTATTACCTATAACAAAAACCCCTTTCTATACAAAGTTCAATCAAAGGGCTCCCATTATCATTTACACCTGGCAAACCCCCAAAATTACCTACCACACCTCTCTAAAAGTTTCTCCTACTTTAGCATTCAAGTCCCCTACCACAATTACTCTCTCACTTGGTTCAAAGGCTCCTATACATTCACTTAACATCTCCCCAAAAACTCTCTCTCTCCTCTGCATTCCTCTCTTCTCCAGTGCATACACGCTTATTATGACCCACTTCTCGCATCCAACCTTTACTTTAATCCACATAATTCTTGAATTTACACATTCATATTCTCTTTTCTCCTTCCATAACTGATCATTTAACATTACTGCTACCCCTTCCTTTGCTCTAACTCTCTCAGATACTCCAGATTTAATCCCATTTATTTCCCCCACTGAAAATCCCCCTACCCCCTTCAGCTTTGTTTCGCTTAGGGCCAGGACATCCAACTTCTTTTTCATTCATAACATCAGCAATCATCTGTTTCTTGTCATCCGCACTACATCCACGCACATTTAAGCAACCCAGTTTTAAAAGTTTTCTTCTTCTCTTTTTTTGTAATTGTATACAGGAAAGGGGGTTTCTAGCCCATTGCTCCCCGGGATTTTAGTCGCCTCATACGACACGCATGGCTTTACGGAGGAAAGATTCTTTTCCACTTCCCCCATGGACAATAGAAGAAATAAAAAAAAAACAAGAGCTATTTAGAAAAAAAGGAGAAAAACCTAGATGTAAATTTTATATATATATGCCATGTGCGTGTCTGTGAAGTGTGACCAAAGTGTAAAATAGGAGTAGCAAGATATCCCTGTTATCTTAGCGTGTTTATGAGACAGAAAAGAAACCAGCAATCCTACCATCATGCAAAACAATTACAGGTTTTTGTTTCACAGTCATCTGGCAGGACGGTAGTACTTCCCTGGGTGGTTGCTGTCTACCAACCTACAGTATATAGATAAAGGTAGGGAAGTTTTTATTGCATTTATGGATTTAGAAAAGGCATATGATAAGGGATAGAAGAGCAAAGTGGCAGATGTTGCAAGTGCGGTACCATCCGACTTACGACGAGTTTGGTTCCGGGCAAACCGGTCGTAAGTCGAAATGGGCATAAGTAGAACCTTACTACTGAATATGAAAATCACATTTTTTTTATTGACTTTATTTATTGTTTTTTT